CATGACCTTCTTCTTCAGGAAAATAACTGTCTCCGATTCCCGCAGTGTTCTAGAATGCCCTCCTTTTGTTAAGACATCCAGCAAACTATCTGCCATGACATACTGATAATCTTGGCACATGGCCAGAAACTCCTGGATGCTGAAATCACTTTGAAGATCAGCGTCTTCCCCATAAGTTGAAAAGATTAAATCAGAATCATCCTTGCTGATATTTGCAAAGGTAGAGTCATAATGTGGTGCACACGAACTGTAGGGTCCATAATTCAAGTGTAACACTGGAGTTACTTTGTTCCTTTTGTCCTCTTTGAAGCCCTGCAAAGTGTTCACATCAGACTGGAGTCTTCCCGTTGTCATTCCCAGTCTCACAGGGCAGTATCCTGGTCTCCCACCGTGGGATCCACGGGGTGGAGAAGTCCCAGCGTTGTCGTTCCATCTGGTTTCCTTCTCTCAAATTCACACTGGCTGTTGACGGTGTCAGCTGGGGTCAGCTTCCCTCCAGACTCCCTCACCACACGGTCAATCTGCTCCTGCTCCCGTTCTAAATGACTGCTTCTAAACTTATCTTCAAGCATAGCTTTGTCTTTCCTTTTATTTTCCTTATTGGGACTTTTGAAAGCATGTTCTTCGGCATCTCCCGAGTCTTCCGAGTCTTCCCTCTTTCTTGGCCAGCAGCGGCCATCCTCCCCACTCTGCAAGGTATCTGATCAATCTTTCTGCCGTCGAGTTTTTTGCAAATCTGCCATGAAGTCTATGCTCTGTTTCAGGCTTTGAATTCTTTCCTGGCTAAGAATTTTCATCCCTGAGTGCAAGAGCTTCTTGGCGGCTTTATAATAAATGGTCTCTGGTTTGTTGTAAATCATGGCATTAGTACACATTAGTTTGAAGTTATCCTTCAGTTCTTCTATGGACTGGTAGTCATTGTTCTTGATCTTTTCTTTCATCCTACTAAAATCCATTGGGTGTTTAATGATCATAGAGTAGCCAGGAGCAATAAAATCAGTCATAGGAAATGAAAAGAAAGCACTTGGGTCTTTTAGCACTGCCAGTTTTTAATGTAGCTCTTGTGTCCCTTAAGGTGACAAATTTGTTTCTTTTTCAATCTTTAGCCCAAATTGTTTTTATATTGGTGTAGCTTTAACCATTAACCTTTAGCCTTCACAGACCTTCTCTGCTGCCTGGCACTTTCTTCTCAGTTTTACACTTTGTGTTCATAATGGTTGTCTTGAACTTTTACCTCATGATAATTATTTAATTTTTAGTAGCTTTTTGGTCTTTTAAGTTCTGGTTCATGAAAAATGTGATGGTGTTTCTTTTTGAGGGGGATCTTAATTTGTTTTTACATCTCTGCAATCTCCAGTTTACCCCGTATTTTGTTAATTTATCATCCCACTTTCACATTCTTTCACTTTTATTTAGGTTTTTGTGTGGTGTTGAGCACAGCAGGACGTTCTCCTTATCTTCTTCAGATGATATCCTTTGTTCCTTTGTTTTTTCCTGTGCCTGCCCTTCACAGCGCCTCTCACTCTGCTCACCCCCAACTTCCCACTTGCTCAGGCAGAATTTGAGTGAAATTTTGTTTTTCATATTTCCTGCCTTATCTGAGATCAGACCATTTCCCATCTGAGCTACAGCTTACAGGCTCTGTTTAGATTCCTTGCCATTTTTCTGAGGACACAACTAATTGGTCCTCACCAGTGGTTCTTGACCTTCCTAATGCTGCCACCCTTTAATACAGTTCCTCATGTTGTGGTGACCCCCAACCATAAAATTATTTTCATTGTGTAGCAATGCAGCATCAGGAAGGTTGAGAACCACTGGGTTAAACCATCCTTTTCCCTGCTGATTTTCAGTGCTACCTTTTTCATTAACCAAGTGGTCACATTCTTTCCACGTTTTGCCTTGTCTGCCATTGGCCTGTGGTCAGTTTTGCTTAGGCCAGCACAGCACTGTCATATGTGGACAGCTTCCCAATGACTCCTGATATATGGGAGAGTAAATCTCCTCTTCCTTTGAAGTATCTTGGGCCTTTGTGTTCCCAAATCTGCTTGTCAAAATCTTATTGGGATTTTTCATGGGAGTGCATTGAGTCTATGGGTCCATTTGAAGATAATTGACATCTTTATAACATTATGTCTTCCATCTCATGTTTATGGTACATGGAAATTACTAATTTAAAAAAAATTTTAATAAACTTTCTATTCTTCTTCTTGAAGGTTTTGTTCTCCTGATTTCTTCATAGGTATTATTGGTATCTTTATGCTGTTATAAACTACAGTGGTTCTCCCTGATTCACGACTTTGTTTATGGTTTCAATTACCAGTGGTAAAGCGAGATCCAAAAATAATCAATGGAGAATTCCACAAATAAAGAATTTATAAGTTATAAATTGCATGCCATTCTGAGTAGTGTCATGAAATCTCACTCAGTTCCAATCAGTCCTTCCTAGAACA